CTGCTGGGTGTCCTTGGGGAGGAGGTTTCTAAAGGCTCTAGCTCCTCCCAGGTGGCCTTCAGAGCCCAAGTATGCGTAGTTCAAGAATAGGTAAAGAGCCCAACGGATGCGCTGTGGCAGGGAAGCACGTGATTGACTACCAACATGCATCATAGATATTTGAACTAGACCTCAGGACAGGCATCGTGAAGAGGGCGAAATTGGAGCCCACGCTTCCTGATGGAGTAGGCTACAGCCCTGTGGGGAGACAGGAGATCATTCCAGATGCCCTGAGGGAAAAGTTCAGGCCTAGAAAATGGGAAGACACACATGAGAGGCAATTCCTTACTCTGGGGGCCCCTAGAAGGTGCCCAGGGTGAGCTCACACAGCTACTAAATGACGGGATGGGAGTTCAAGCCCACCAAGGGGCGCCTTACAAGAGCTGGTGATCTACTTCGGAGAAACCAGCCCCTGAAAACCCGATGGGTTGTCAAGGGGGCGTGCAGCGAGGGACTGCGGGGCCAAGACGCCCAGCAGCGAGAAAAGAACAAGGCAGGCTGGTCTTGTCGCATCTTGCCGTTCACCCAAGCTGGGGATTTGCAGTGTCACCCCCCAAAGGGAAGGGTGGGGAGACAAGCCAGTTGAAATCCCTGCCACTGGCTTGTCACTAAATGTTGGCAGAGTGGGCGTGACCTGTCTTAGAAAATCCCTTAAGGACTCATGTTGAAAAGACAGATTATCCCGCAGGTAATGATGTATCTGGCTTTGTGGAGCATCGGGTTACTTCTCAAAAGGAGTCCCAGCAGAGTTCTTAGCAAAGCAAAACCACAGTCCTCTGGCCCCCGACCCACAAGGGGAGGCTTTTAAGGAACCTTGGTTTGGGCTCGTGCATCCAGGCACTGAAGTTGACCACTTGTGGGCCACGCTGCTCCTTCCTGCTTCTCTGCTGTCTGGGACACTTGGGGGCCCCACTGATGACGAGGTCTCTCTGGCTTGACAGTCCATGAAGGAACCTGTGTGGTGCCAGGACCGAAGGTTGGCAGTTAGAACCACCCCCTCCCCCCAAGTCACTCAGCAGGAGGAAGAGGTGGCGGGCTATTTTCTGCTTTCTTTTCGATGGAAGTTTTTAATCTGTTTTAATCTGTCATTCTAGTTATTTCATTAGTATGTGTATGTGGGTGTGTTGAAAATGCTTTTCTGGGTATGAAATCCAGATAGGTAAATCTATAGAGACAGTAATTAGATTCATGGCTCCTTGGGGGGATAGTAAGGGGACGTGGGGGGGAATGGGAAGCTAAGAACGATGAATACAAGATTGAAGAAAATACTCTAAAAGTGATCGAGGGGATGCTTGTACCACTCGTCTTGGTGCAATCGGATGATTGACTTGTGTGATATGTGAATTATATGCCAATAAAACTGTTGGGGGGTAGGGACGGATGGTAGCCTGGAAAACCTTGTGGGGCAGTTCTGCCCTGTCCTGTGCACTGCTATGCGTCAGATTGGCTGCAAGGCAGCGGGTCACTGGTTTGACTTCTAATCCATTCATTGGTTGAGAGTTTGCTACCTAGCCAAGGTGACTGCTCAAGGCCCGTTGATTCTGACGTGAGGTCATGTCACCAGGGTTTTCAAGGCCGGGTGGGGCCTTCGAGCAGCGGGTCTCTAAAGGCACTGCTGGGTGGATTTGAACCACCAACACCCCCAGCTAGTCATGGTGTGCTTAACTGTCTGTGCCACCCCAGGATCTCCTTACCCAAAATGGCCAAGAAGAGTCCTGCCTTGGATGGGGGCAGGGGAGGAAGAGAGGGGTTTCTGGCTGGGGACAGGGAAGCTGCTGCCCCCAAAGAGTAGGGCAAAAAAGGCCTTTCCATGCCCCCACCCCACCCCAGACCTACCGTTCCTACAGCAGAGACTGCCGGGAAGTTTCAGGAAGGCCTAGGATAGAAGTCTGTGAGGATGAAGGGCGTTCTCCAGGGCCATAGTCACAAACACAC